GGCCGACTCTCACCACATCATTTTTTAATGCCCACTCTCGCAACATCATTTATTTGAATATAATGGACTTTTATTATATTTATGATGAATATTTAAATATTGAAATTTTATTTAAAAATTGGTTGTGATGTACACAAGCAAAATAAGCTTTTGTCTTATTTTCAACATAAATTTTCAAAATCAATCATGAGAGGAGAGAATATAAGGTTCTCTTTGATACAAAATATTAAAAATAAAAAATAAGGACTGAAACTGTTATTGAGAAAAATCATTAAAAAAATATTTAACATGAGTAATTGCTTATTATATGACATGGGAGATAGAATTTCCCAATCGTACATACGTGAGTCTATTCAATATGATGTAACGAGCAATTTCTCATACTAAATATTTTTTAATAGATTTTCTTAATCTTAATCCTAATTTATATCCTTATTTTTAATATTTCATGCCAAATGAGACTCAAGGTTTCTATCCAGTGACCGGTCTACTTACAAAAATGCCTGTGCGTTTGTTACTCTCTGAATATGCATGAAACCCAGAAAATGCCACATCACACATGAAACCCAGTTCTCTGGCCCCTATTATATAATTATTATTCTCTTGGGCGAAGAAATAATTTATCTAAGTTTGTCGTGAAAAATCATACTCTCTCAGCAACATATTGGGTCCTGTCAATTTTGGCAGGGCATTTTTTAAAAATAGTAAAGAAGTTTGAAGATAATTTCCTTTTAAAGTCCTAATAATTCTGATTGGGTAATTAGCACTTATTTTAGGCACAAAAATCGAAATATTTTGAAGAAGAGAAAAGCAAAGAAATAATTGCTTCATGATTTAAATCTTCTCGGAATGCTTTGGGTTGGTCCCCCCACATACGAAAAAACAGAGCAACAAGGCACAGTCGCCACTTTTACTGATTAGTGCTCTCGTCCAACAAACTGGTAAGCTCAACCTTGATCGTCAAAGAGCAATCGGAGCGCGCTCCAAGCCTCCAATTCAGTGCGTAACTCATTAACTAATTTTAGAAAAAAATACAGGTTTTGACAAATAAATCCCATAAAAGCAAATGATTTTGACTAACCAGGATTCATCTTTGACGTAATTGAAAAGATCTTTATCCATGACTCGTGGTTACCAAATTGTTTCATGATCCAAATGGTAAAATGGTTAGAAACTGTTTCATCGTCAATAAAATTAAACAAAGTCCTTTTTTTATTGTTCAAATAATTTGTCGTTCAATAAAATTAAACAAAAGGGGTAATATTTATTAATTTATAGATATATTAGCAATAATAATAGATGATGACGCGTTGAACTACTTGGCGACAATTGTTTAGTATTGAACTAAGTATTGGATAAGACGAAGCTTAGCTCATTAACTCATCTGACAAATCTCATAAAAGCAAATGAATTTGAGTAACCAGCCAAATAGTAAAACAGTTGCAATATTTTCAGTATTAATAGGAATGAACACCTTCCCTTTCTCAAGTAAATACAAGCTTTCATTGTGATAACGGAAGGAAACACTCTTTTCTATAGCCCCCACCAAGAGATTGGTTGGAGTTGTTGGATTGAACCTCAGAATCTGCCCACCATCCATGTATAGTATGAGGTCACCGTTCTTTCTCGCGCCTAATATGTGATCAGGATCCATCTCTGACGTGATTGAGAAGATGTTCATCCATGACTCATGGTTGTCAATTCCTTTAGTAATCCAAATGGTAAATTGGTTAGATACCTGCTCATCCTCATCCGTTTCTTCATCAGATTCATCAAAATGCCACTCGTATGTCTCTTGTATCAAGAGAAGCGAGTCCCCTGTTGTTACAACAGAAATCTTACCCATGAGACGTGCATCACTAGGAAATAATATTCGTCCAAACACTTCATGTGTCAGATTAAATGTAAGTATAAAGTCATAATCATCGCTTCCTTCTTCTTCATGATAAGCACGCCAATAAAGCACGCCATTAAAGAATACGGGGGGTTCAGCACGATAAGCGAACCAAGAAGAAGGGATAGTGAGACGTTTCCATGACCATGAGACGTATGAAAAAATCCAAGCTGAGTCAACTTCAATAATAAACCTAAACGGATCAGTTCGGCGATAAAGAAGCTTACAATCTTAAAATCATTGCTGCTACAATCAAAACCAAAGCCTTCAGCCGACAATATTGCTTCATCCCAAGTCATCATGAAGGGAAACCATACATATTTTCGAACAGTTGGGTTCCAAAGAATAAATTTTGGAGGTTTTTAGTGGCAAGACATACTAACCCATTGCTTACTCCTATCAATCGTGTGCCTTTAAAATCATCGACAGGAGGATTTTTTATTGTGCGAAACAAATCGAACTGATCATTATCCCAATGCAGTGAATAGGTTGGTTGGCAACATGATAGCCGACTTGATAGGCTAAGAGATGAACTTCCACGAGTTTCTGCGCTCTCTCTAATAAGAAGGATTTGGTTTCTGGAATCAAAAGTTCGTTTTGAGCTGTGGGATATGAAATCAGAACTAGTAATCAGGGCATTCCAATCTCTGCAAATAAAAGCACACTGAAACAGGATTTGGACGTCTAATCTGAGCAAAATTTCTTCAATAACATGGAGAGGAATGAAAGGAATGTTGCCATATGAGGTTGTGAGTTTTGCTTCCATAAAGGGCGTCACGAGTTCGATCACGTTGAAGGGAAGAAAAGGAAATATAACACAGAATAACAAGTTTATGGGATTGATGGGGACGAGGCTTCTAGGATTTTGCGATTCATGAACGGTTAAGCCAGGAGTTATGCTATATAAAGCGTGGTTTTTTTTTTTGGTCAAAAAGCTGTATATAGTTGCTAATGATAAATGTTGATTGATCTGATGTGATCTTGAATTTCTAACGCGGTTGAATTAACATGCGAAAAAGGAGCGGTATCTTTTTATCTGTATTGATATAATTTTTTTTAAAAAAATAGATTTATTATAAAGATAAAAAAAATTTATTCGAAAACAAAATAAGGGAGCTCTTAATCATGTGACATCATATCCATAATCTATTTTTTAAATGCAGCGTATCTATCATCTATCTTCCATACTTCTATGTCTATCACTCCCATATTAAATATAATATATGATCTTTTACAAAATCATATTATATAATTTTTTACTTAAGTTTTATTTTTTGGACAATTGAATTTTTTTCCCCGATAAAGTGAATTTAATCAGTATTAAAGTTTAAATAAAGAAATAATTTCAAATTCAAATTAATTTTAAAATTTTAATTTAATTAATAAATTTATTTTATATTCTGAGAGCGTAAAAAATAAGCATCTCATGATAAAGTTGAGAGAAAATAATTTAAAAAAATCTCATTTTTCAATTGCATTTTAGTAACCGGAGATAAAAGTGCCCGTATGCGCAGCCGACAATTGGAATTTTTCTGCCAACACATTACAGATATCAATCTAATTTTGTAATCATCTGATTGACAACACTTTAATGAAATCACGGCATGATACTTGATTTAAAAATTAAAATAAATTTCTTTAATTAACATAAAATCTTTAAAATCGATAGATTTTTTTTATTAATTGAATTGATTTTTCATACGATATATAATTCGTTTAAAAAGTTGAGAAATTACAACGGAACAATAAATGGGCTCGCTAATTAATCAAACCCGCGTCAATAAATATTTAAAAATAATTTAATTTTGGTTTTATTACAAATTGATAAAATAACAAAAATAAATAGTGCCGGGATAAAAAATTTTGAATGATTAGTCTCAAATTTTGATCGATGGTTTTCTTGGGAATGGAGGTTGGGCATTGAAGTTTGTTAGGTGCAGCCGATAACTGAGGGTAGACGAAGAAATCATCCATGTTCTTCAGGACTAGAAAGTTAGAGTCTATGAAGATGATTTTGTCATAGTCCGTGAGTTGTCATATTCTAAGCTTACTGTGGTTCCATAGAGGATCCTTTCAGGGCGAAGGGATTTAGGATTCGTTGAATGAGCCTGATCTTCCATCCTGCGGCTTGAAGGCCTTTTATGGATTTGGGACTGATAGAATTGTCTGCAAGGAGGATGAGACCTCAGATCTCTGGTGTAGTTGTAGAATTGAACGACGCTCAGTGGGTTTGAAGAATGCTTTGGGCTAAAGCAATCGCTCCACACACAGAAGCTACTGAAGAGTGAAGCACCGTGACGCTGGCCAGTTTTGGCCTTGGGTCGTGCTTCAATACCTTCGATTCTGACAAATAAGCTCTCCACACCTCTTTGCCTATTAATTGTTCCGGGAAACAAATCTCAATAAAAATAGCCATGCACGGATTACTAAATCATTAGTCATTATTGCCTCGCAATCTGATGACAGTAAGAAATCAGGGCAGTATTATGAGCTTCCTTAATAGTCAAGATATTGTTTTTAATGCTGATAAATGCGTTTCCAAAAGCAAAATAGCATAATAACATATATACAATGGATCTAAAACATACCTGTTTGTGCATAAGCGGGAGAAATCTGGCGTGATCCTAGAGGGCATCATATGGTATGTGTGTAGAGTTCATAAATGGAAACAAGACGAAAACCAAAGGGACAATGATACAAGTAAAGGCCCTAAAAGAATTATTACTAAATCACGATTTCATTACAATTAAAGTTCTTGAATCTTAAGCTGGCCAAAAAAAAAAGCTTTCGAATTTTACATCTCAATTTAAAGTTAATAATTTTATGAAGTCCTCAGTTGTCATTCTATCGGGAAACAACAAAGAGAACAAAGAAATGAAAGAAAATTAGTACAAGATATCCCATTAGAGCTATTAGCGATTCCTTCATCTCGTGCGGCGCACCCTTCTTCAGACGGGAAAAATGTCCCCTTAATCATCGTGATAATTACGGGAGAAAGGTAAACCTACCCCAGAACATTATTTATGGCATCAATTTTGTTATCACCCATTGACATAATATTTCGTGGAGGAGCCAGAAGGGAAAAAACGACCTGTCTTTTTCTTTAGGCCCGAGAAAGTGACGGGAATTTGGGCCACGGGCAGGAAGTAGTCGGGGACTCTTGGGTTTGGCGGGGGTCTCTTTCTTCTCGGCTCAATCCTGTTCCCTTGCATTACAATTCTAATTTCCTAAACATGCTCAAGCTCTCCCTTTCTTAATCATTGCTTCTCCTTTTCGATCTCCACGGTTTTCATCGCTTTCCCGAATGTCAAATAACTCCCTGCTCCCCATCGGATTGACTCTTGGCTCCATCATGGAGGACACTTCTGCTGCTAACGGTAACATGATTGATAAATTCTCGCCATTTTTCCGTCTGGTTTCAGTTGAATTTTGCTTCTCTTTACATTCTGTTTGCTCATCTACGCACACAAACGAAGCTGTCTTGTTGAAGCAGCTGTACAGGACAGAGACCACAAGTTCCTAACAAAAGCAATCGAAGAAGCATATGAAGGGGCTGAATGTGGCGATGGCCGCCCTTTTGGCGCAGTGATCGTTCGTAACGATGAAGTAATCGTGAGCTGTCATAACATGGTTCTGAGAAACACCGACCCCACTGCCCACGCTGAGGTTACTGCAATACGAGAGGTTAGATTGACAAGCATCATTTTTTCATCTGTGGGGTCTTGGAGATCTCCATCTGATGGCTGTTCAAAGCAGGATGGTCAAGTTGTCTTATTGATCTCGCCTCATCGTTTTTCTCGATGCAGGGATTGGTTATTCTGCTCATTAATTTGATAAGCTGTTTTGTCTTTGGAATCTTCCTATAGGTGCTAATCTACCTCATGCTTGTGGTAAATTGGAGTTGGTGTTAATTAATGTGCAGGCATGTAAAAAGCTGAATCAAATTTATCTATCTGGCTGTGAAATGTATGCGTCTTGTGAGCCTTGTCCCATGTGTTTCGGAGCAATTCAGCGTTCGAGAATAAAGGTAACCTATAACCTGCCAGTACCCACAGTTTCTCCTCTTTTGCTAAGTGTTGTTTTGGACGTTGCTGAATTCACGTTGAAACAGAGACTGGTTTATGGAGCCAGAGCAGATGCTGCGGCAGCTTTTGGATCTGCTGGTTTTATTTCAGATGCACTAAGGGGGACCGGGTTTCATGAGAAAGCTCACCTGGAGATTAAAAAGGCAGGTGGAACTCTTGCTGTAATCGCAGAAGAGGTATTTGAGAGGACGAGTTCTAGGTTTCGTGCTGTCAATTAGGATCAGTCTGTGCCTCGAACGAGTCTTGTCTTCAGCTTACTTTTGTGTCTGCCGATGGTCAACGTAATGTTTTTGGTGAAAATGGTCAGTGTAATTTGATTCTTCAAACCATCGTTATCACCAATTTATTTCTGTTTTTTCCGTCATCGAATACCAACCCCGGATTATCCTATCAATCATTCATATTAAATATCAATTGTCTGCATGTATTAAATCATGCACGAAACCTGAAGAATAATTGGTTTTGATTTCTTTGTCGTTGCATCATCTTTCACGACATTAATAAAATACGTACAGCGTATCTTGAAATTTATAAGCCGAATCTATTTAATTATTTTTAATAGTAATTTTTTGCCCTTGCATAGAAATTAATTAATAAAAAAACCATAACATCACGCGTATCACGCGCCTACAGTTAAGAAAAGACGACCTGGTTGCTGGAAGCATATGTATGCCCCTACTTCAAAAAAGAAAGAAGTTATCAACAGTGCTTTTAGCTTCTAACTTGAATTCTTCATTCACCTTCGTTTCGCAACTCCTCTATTCTAGCTTTAATTTGATCCTGCAACAATTCCAACTGCTTCAAATAAGCTTCCAGTTCCAAAATCTTTTGCTTTCTCTCTTCCTCATCGCCTTCTCCCCCACTTCCGTATTGTTGCACCAACTTCAATCCTGATCCTTCCGCTGCATTATTATTGTTCAATGGTGATAAACACGACCTCATCGTCTCCTCTATCAGCTTCTTTACATCTCTGTTCTCCCCATTCAAACGCCCCGATTCATCGCCATCATCTTCTTCGCTATGCACCTCGATATTATCGGTATCCGGTTCTGGGCTTGATTCCTCGTCTTGATTCTTGCCCCAGATCTTTTGGGAGATCTCAAAAATCGCCTCCTCCTGGGGGTTCTTGTGTGAAACTTCCCTGCCGGAGTTGATTTTATCCAAAACGGTCTGGTGTTTTCTCTTTAATACTCGAAGCTTCTGGACGACTTGATTCTTGTTGAAGTCCTTGTTCAACTTAGGCCTGATGTGATCGTAGAAGAATGTTACGTCGTTTTGGAGAGATGTGGTGGCCCATCTGTTCTGCTTGACGTAACCCAGATATCCCCTCAAGAGTTCGATCTCGTCTTGCTTCGTCCACAGCCTCTGATATTGTCTCCGCGGATAAGAATGGCTGATACGCCGTCGTTTTCTAGAGCCCGTGTCCGTGTTGGGAATGTAAGAGTCGTCGGCGCCGGGAGCGGCGAGGGCAACGGGAGTGGATTTAGTATCACCAGCGCATGATGTTGAGGGAAGCTCCTCGGCTTCGCGGAGGAAATGCTCGTTCTCGCCGACGTTCTCGTAATGATCTTCATCGTCCACAAAGTTATCTTCTTCCTCTGAAGAGGACGAAGAAGAAGGAGAGGACGCCAAGATCCAAGAAACCAACGGCGAAAGCATTTCCGAGGAATAGTTCAGAATTCTTCGTGAAATGGACTTGCTCGTTTATTTGAACAAAAGCCAAACCCTGTTCGTGAATGGCCGTCGTGTATTTGCCAATAATAGGAATATGGGATGCATATTCTGTTCTAGTTATTTTTTCCCGCCTTCCCTTCCCTTGTATGAAAGACATTGCCTGCTAAAGCTATGGCCAATAGAAAGGAAATTCCATTTCATGTAAACTCCTCCTTGCTGCCAAGCGCCAATTAATAAATGTCGATCAAAACCCATCTCCCGTTATCAAACTATTAATCTAAATTCAATAATAATCAGGCAAGACCAATTGAAGTTCGAATTTGATCGATGAGAATGCAGCAATCTTTCAGGACGTTGTCAAGAAAATCGTATATAGTTAGGCTAGTTTTTATCTCTATTTTTGGGCCCAACTGATGGAATTGAGGGTGCAGATCAAGATTGTCCCAGCTCAAATATTAAAAAGAGGGAAAATTGCAATAAGATCTCATTCAAACAATTAGATACAAAAAAATCTCTTAAAATTATTGAATTAATCTGAAACTTGTATTAAAAAAATCTGAAGTCTCGGGGGCCTCATTTGGAGAGAGTCCACTTATTTAATTACTAACTTGTCCTTTTTTTTCTTCTAAGTATGGATTGACAACTGAAAGAATAATCGTTAATAATTTAAAGTATTTAAAGTATAATAACTATGGTAACAAGTATTGATAACTCATACATTGTAATTTTATGATACACTAAAAAAATGTGTTATTAATACCTTTCGTGATAGTTGTTAGTTGTTACGTTTTAAATTGTTAATGACCGCTCTTTCAATTATTAATGTATATTTTAAAAAAAATAAGGGTAATTTAGTAATTAAACAAGTAAAATCTTTTCTAATGAGATCTCTCAGGATTTTAGATTAATTTGATAATTTAAAAAATTTGTATTTAATTTTCTTAGAAAGGAACTTGTTGCAATTTTCTCTAAAAAAGATGGGTTATCCCACCCATTTAAAAAAAAAAACCAAGTTTTATCCTACCAAACAAACAGTGTAAAGCCCAAGTTGTCTGGAATGAAGCGAGGCCCAAACAGAAATGGCCCAGCAAGGAGGAAAGAACTTTGGTGTGAGGAGATCCAACGCACAAGAACCCCCACCTTATCCGAGTCCCTCCCAGCGGCATATGCTCTGCCTTTCCATGGATGCCTTTCATTTCATTTCTCCTATTTCTCCTCCACCCACATCATCTCTCCGTCACGCCCTCCCTTTCTCCGCCCTTCTTCCTCTTTTCCTTCTCTGCATCCCTCCGTTTCAACCCCACCTCCCAAGTCATGGCTTCTTGTGCCGCCCCAAGACCGGCTTTCTCCTTTCACCTTTCCTCCTCTTTTCCTCAACTTCACCCTCCAAAATCCAAGCTCCACCTCTCTCCTTCCAACTCCCTTCTCAATCCACTGTGCCATAAACGCTCTGATCCTCCAAAATTCATCTCATATTCCATTGACGTTTCCAAAGAAGATACTCCTACTTCTGGCTCAGAGCAGCCCGATTCCCCCTCCTCGTCTTCCCCTTCACCGGACTCTGAAAATTTCGATAAGCGTCGCCTGGAAGAGAAATTCGCGGTGTTGAATACCGGAATTTATGAATGCCGATCCTGTGGGTACAAATACGACGAGGCCGTGGGTGACCCCTCTTATCCGATTCCCCCTGGACTTCAGTTCGGGAAGCTTCCCGATGATTGGCGGTGTCCCACCTGCGGGGCTGCCAAGAGTTTCTTCGAGAGTAAAAGCGTCGAGATTGCTGGTTTTGCTGAGAATCAGCAGTTTGGGCTTGGTGGCAATTCTCTCACTTCTGGACAGAAGGCTGTGCTCATTTATGGCAGTTTGTTCTTCTTCTTTGTTCTGTTTCTTAGTGGCTACTTTATCCAATAGTTTGATCACCCAGATTTTCTGTTTTTAAATCCTGGATCCTTACCACTGCCGTTCCTAATATATTCGGGTTATTGTTTAGTACGAGTTGCGGTCTTCATTTTTTTGAAAAATAATGTATCATCGACTTTTTCCCCACCCATGTTGATAGCGTGCTTGCGTATTTAGGAGCCAAGTACTTCACCAGAGTTGGAGAACTTGTTGCTCATTTCCCTAATTTTCCAGCTAGACTTCAATCTTCAGCGTAATGCCCTGCATTCCTAGTTATGGGGAAAAAAATGCCTTGGCTAGAGAAAGCTACTTTCCTCTTTGGAGGGAAGCTAGCCGATTATTTTCTTTGAACAGAAGGAAAAACTTGGCGACAAAACCGCTGGATACTGGGATAAAATTCGAATTCACCTGCTCATGCTGTAAATCTGTGTCTCAATGGAATTTGCTTTTCTCAAGTGGAATCTACAAAAAGTGCTTTTCAAAATCAGTTAACAGATTTTTATATATTTACTTTGGATACTTAAAATTATTTTTAAAACTATGATTTAGTTTCTATTTAAACAGAATTCGGTTCAAGTAGATACTTCTTTTGTTATTCATCTTCGCCGGGTCGGAAGTCCAAGGCCAGGGAGAGGAAAACCCGAGGGAGGAGTGTTGACTTTTTATGCGTTTCTGTCATGACATTCGATCAAAATAGTAGAGCTTGAACGAGATTCGTCAGATGCAGTGTGAACCATTTTGACTTATATCCCTGTGACAGTTGCATGAATACCCTCGAGGGATCGAAGCACTCGGTGCTGAATCCATCCATGTTTTGGATGTGAGTAAATCTTCTCCCGGCAGGCCGCCTCTTTTTTTTTTTTTTTTTTAACACATTCTTCTTCAGAACTGCTCCGCCTATTTAAGTGACGCAGATTCAGGAAGCGTGTTGCAAAATGCCAGTCAGGTTTAAGTGAGGTAGCTATTGAAACTGATAAACTTGCGTGAGAAGCTTGCGTTACCGGTTGAAGTATTTGAATTTTTAAAATTAGCGGTATGATGTGGTCCCTTATACCACACACTAATCGTTATTAATATTCAGAACTTTACCATCTACCAATATGATATTATAATCAGTGTATTGACATCAAGTATAATAAAATATAAAATTCATAACAAATAATACTATCCGCAACTCGTGTGAATTTGTGCCGTTGTGATCGTGAAATAGTCCACATAGTCGCACATCTGAATTTATATGAAAGTTAAGTCGGTACAAATAGAATTTAAATAGGGCAGAATAATAAACAAATGATGGCTTCATCTTGCGCGTCAAATCTATAAAAGACGGATAATTCCACCTTTAAATAAGTCAAAAAAAACACAGGTGCAGATTTAGCAACGTTATCAGTCGTGCCCAATATACTTTTTTTTTTTTTTGCTAAAGTATATGTATCTTCTTATTGAAAGTAATCTTATTTGAGATACTGTCGGGCTCAAAATACTTCTAAAATCTAAAATATGAATATTCACCGAGACCGTGACGGAGCACTCGCCTTCTCCTTGTCCTTCTTAAATGACACTTTCGCTTCTGAATTATATATCCTGTGTTATAATTTTTAATCATTCATGCTTTTTCCCCCACTTTGATAAATCATAAAACCCATTCTCGGCCCCGTTCATAACACTAATCGTTGAGGTGAAGTTGTTAGATAGAGCTCCATCCATACAGTCGAATTGCGTACTAGTAACAATATCTAATGGAATCCGATGGGCAATGGCCTATTCAGGGACAGAAAATGAAGAGGTAAAAAAACCATAGCACATAATCGGATACAGTGAATTTTAATCGATGCTGCTATCAGCCCCGTAGGCCCGTCTTCAAACACACTTTTCTTCTTCTTCTTCTTCTTT